ACTTAACTTGCCTGACCTCCCTTTTCGGGGACTCCTATTCATCCCTCAACACCCAGTTTAAATGCTACCAGCCAACTTCCCTAAGCAGCTATTTAAACACTCTTCTGGGCTCCCAAGACATCTGTGCATTCCTCTACCATAGAAAATTTCACATGACACTCGTTATTTATAAGTATATGTCTTCTGCCAGATTTTGAGATATCTGTTTCGTTGTTTTACACACTCTTACCATAGTGCTAGACACATCGTAGACACAAATGTTTGTGAAATAAATAAATGAGCAAATAAGTGAATGGATGCATAGATTAATTAACACATGCATATAGTAATCAAACTCTACCCTGGAGTTAGAATTATTCAAGTTCTCCTTCAAATCAAATCGTGATACACATCAGCAACACAGTTTTTCCTATTTCTACATTCTAATAGGCTATCAGAATCCTAGATATTTTTCTGAAGAAGTTTTACCTCATTGACCTCTGACTTCTTAGATCCATGTTCAAGGTAAACATGGAGACCAAAAAACTACATAAATGAAAAGAGAAATTAATCCCAAAATAAGAAAATACACTTTAAATGAATTTTAGCTATATTTACATATTAATTTACCTTATGCAACTGACTCTTATTTCCCCAAATCTCCTAATTATCTTCTTTCATAGTAAGACCAGTCTTCTCAAGGTTTTTTTAACATTTAGAAATGACTCTCCTCCACGTTAGCTCACCGAGCTTCACGCACCTTTGCCCAGGTAAAGATGCCTTAAGCTCCAAACGCCAGTGTATTTAGTAAGAGAAACATCGCCTGTTTCTTCGCTTTCCCTCTCTCAGACTCGTCACAAGGAAAATCAGATATTTTGGCCACTCCTCATTCCCACGGCCACACGGGCATGATAACCGCAAACCCAGTGGGAAGCGCGATTCCGGCCCCCGAGGAGCCAGGCTCTCGCCCTGGTCCTCCCCTGGCCGCGCCAGGCGCAGGCCGCGGGGAGATGCCTGCTGCCCAGGGAGCTCTCCTCCAGCTCCGCGCAGAAGAGGCGAGCCATCTCGCTGCATAAACACCATTTCGTGCACATGCAGAGAACATCATGGGTGAGGCACAGAAGACTCGAGGGTGAAGCCTGAAAAAATCCAAACTATAGACTTCTTGAGATCCATCCAGGATGGGAAGAGACACTGCAGACGTCTAACTTCATCTCAGAGGTGAGGAGAATGAGGGCCCGGCGCCTCCTTCGTAGCGGAGGCAGAATGAGCGCTCAACAACCACACCCTGCCTTCGCTCGGCCTCAGCCACACCCCTTGGGCCGCGCACAAGAGACAGCACGGCACGGTCCAGTGACGCCTGGGAAAGGAAGGCGGTGATCCTTCTCCCACCCGAGTCCTAAGCACACACCAGCCACACAGGCGCAGCCACCCTGAGGCCCGCACCTATATATCTAATGGGGGATAGAAATAAATCACAGCCTTTACTTCAATTCCATCCAACGACTGTTACCGAGCATCTGCTATGTGCTAGAGCCATTGCTATGTGTCAGGCAATGTTAAAAAGAAAAGTGTGTTCCACGCCCTTTTGATACATTATAGAATACAGAAATACAATTGGCCATACTTCATTTTTGTTGTTGTTGTTGTTTATGTTTGACATTTGTGTTCAATGACTGTAGAATTTAAGGTTGGCAGGGGGGGTTTTTTGTTTGTTTTTTTGAGACAGAGTCTTACTCTGTCATCCCAGCTAGACTACAGTGGCGTCATCGAAGCCGACTGCAACCTCCAACTCCTAGGCTCAAACGAATCCTCCTGCGTCAGCCTCCCGAGTACCTGGGCCTACAGGTGTGCACCACCACACCTGGGAAATTTTTCTATTTTTAGTAGAGATGGTGTCTTGCTCTTGCTCAGGCTGGCCTCTAACTCCAGAGCTCAAGCGATCCTCCCGCCTGGGCCTCCCAGAGTGCTAGGATTATAGGCATGAGCCACTGCGCCCGGCCAATTGGCCATTTAAACTGTACTATTACTTGTGTAATAATGGAGATATAAACAAAGTATTACTGGGGCCCAAAGGAAAACACAAGAAATGCTAACTAAAGTAAGCAGGTGTACAGTTAGGGGTATAATGAAGGCTTTGCAGAAGAAGTCATGTTTCCATTGAATCTTAAATCAAGAGTGCTGCTTCATCAGGTGGAGAATGGAAGAGAAAGGGCATCCAAGAAAGGCCACTTCAGACTGCATGAAGTGTCTGGAAACCAGCAAACAGATGGACTCAGATTACAAGGAGAAAAAAGGTGCAAAAGATGATCTAGCACAGCAGATCCAGGCAAAGTGGTTGTCAAAAGTATTGATTGCTACACTAAAAACTGGGGGCATTTTGCTTCAGAGACAAGTATTCGGCGGGATCTCAGTGGGGAGGTGACACTCATATCTGGGTTTCAAGGGTAATTCTGCCATCGGTGCAGACAATAGATTGGAGATGGGAGATGCCTGATACTGGAGATAGGTTTGCACAGGGAAATCATGACATGGAAAAGTGTCGTTCCTCAGAGCATTTCCAAGCCTGGGGAAACTCCTTCCCTAACAAGGCATGCATTTCTCGTACAAGGAGGGCCATTCTGCCTTCTCTTGGACACCCCTTTGCCTAGCTGGGATTCTGTGACTGGGATTGTCAGTGAGCTGTGTGGCCGTGTGGCGGGTCAGGGAGAAGTCTACTCCTAACCACACACTCTGTGTTTGTTCTTAAAAAGCCCGAGATGAGGCAGTCAGGATTCCCAGAAAGCATAACAAGACAGTCTGGCTGCCCAGAAAACACACAAGATGGCATTCTCCACCTTTCCACCTCCCGCCTGCCCTTTCCCACAGTATCGCCACCGGCATCCACTGAGTCTCCACGCCGCCGGGTCCTTCTCCCCGTTCCCAGCACTGCGCTCTGAACTGGGGCGTACCCAGGCAGAAGGGCGCGAGTAAGAAACCACTCACAGCCCAGACGGGGGCAGGAGCAGCAGCCCGGGCAACAATCCTACAGGCCACTTTGCTGAACACAAAATCCGCTGTGCTCTCCTTGTCAACCAATAAACCGCAGGCGTCTGAATCATGCCAGTGCTTCCATGTGACACACTGGTCACCTCACAACCGGGGACAATCAGAGGGGTGTGCAAGGTGACCCTTACAGCAGGGAACCAATAGTGTGGGCTCTCCTTGGACTTACTCATTCGTTACGATCCTTTGAATACCTTACATAATAATATAACATATGAACTATACTTTCATATACACAGTTTTAAAATAATTTATTAATAATATACATATGTTAAGATGAGGGGTGGGGTTATGTGATAAAAAAAATGTTTTGAGACCACTGTGATAAACCATAGCCCCTTCCACCTACTAAAGGTCAGAACTTCTCTTCTACATACAAAAAAGCATTTTATTGTGGTTCAACTGTGACCGACTTCAACCCACGTTACATACCCAAAGGTGAAAAAAGTTGAGGGTTTGATGAAAAGAGAATATCATTTTATACTTTTTTTCATTATTTTATATTTTTTAAACTTAAAAGCATCTTTCGTCTTGTATCTTACATATCTCTCTTTGCTCTTGAAGGTGTTGACAAAAGTCATTTAGGAAGTAAATAATTTTGTCTAAACTGTATTTTCGGTTTGTCTAAACCGAAAAAGCTAAAATCAATTCTATACTTACAAACATATATATTAAAATAATTTATTCTCTCGAGGCACTTTTCTTAAAAGACTTAAATATTTAACTAAACTGCCCCACCTATAGTTCAAAGTTCTACCAAGACAGAAAAAAATCACATCCTGGTGTCATTGACAATGGTGTGTGTTACACTCAAGTTATACAGGCTATTATTTACTGTTATGTGGAGTTTTTGAGTAAAACTTTAATACTACATATAGTTTCCTTGCACCACATATATATCTGAGTGTGTACATAATCTTTACTAGCATATAGCTAGGAGAGGAGCATGTCTAGAAAAATGTTTGCCTTTCATATCTGAGGAACCCGAAACTTGTCCCATTCCAAGCTTCCTCTAATTTTCAACTTTTTGCAGACTCTAAACAAAGTTCTCATATTTCAGATAACATGGCTTAAATGCTCATCTGACCACCAATAATTATAAAGGAAAAGAAAAACTGACGATTAATTTAATCACCAGTTTTAATGCTGAAAACCCAAGTTAGTATATGGTAACTAACAATCTATAACTCACACTCATACATTTAGCAAGTTTGTTGAATCCCTACTGTGTACCAGGCACTGTGTTTTAGGTACTGTACTAGCAGGAAGAAAGAAATGCGATGACATAAAGTCAGTCCCCTCCCAGAAGAGGAGGCGCAGTGAAGACTTGGCCTCACTCCCCGGCTGTGCCCCAGCACCTAGAACAGTGGCCCACACCTGGCAGAACACAGGTAAGTGCCCTTCTCCGCCTCCCCCAAGACTGTACATCCTAGTGGGGACGGGGAATAAAGCTGGAGAAAAAGAAACTCATAACACTTGCAAATAATTACAATATTGTTATATTCTTATTCGCATACAAAAATATCTGACAACAATTTCCATCTCCCTTCTCTCCCTGCATAATGAAAATCTTGGACAAGGCTCAGAGAAAGAGTTCAGACTCACTGCATGGTCTATTTCTAGTTTTAATTACAATGCTTGGCAAAGCTTGGGACATCATTCCAATTCATTTCAAAAATAACTCCCATTCAATATAAGAAGATGGGATTTTTCACACTTTGTGAATTTTGTATTTACTTGATAATGAAGAGGGTTTGGCACATAAATAAATGCATTTTCTTAGCAACTTTGCTCTAGTGAAGATGCAGAGCTGTTTATCTATTAATAAAAATAAAATAGCTTTCCTCAAAAAAGGAAAAGCTTACATTTGCCTTCCAAACAGACTCCATTTCGTTTCTAGCCCTTTTTAATCCAGAAAATGCGGCTCAAAGCAGCCATAGGACACAAAGCTTGATGAAGTCTCTGCCAGTACTTACTGATCCGTACAGCTCCCCCTTCTCGTTCATCCCGAGGTAGAGTCCACTGTCCACGCCTCGAATGCTGACCAGGCCCACTGCTATACTGATAAATTCCAGAATGCCTGCGAGACAAAGGCGGCAGGCAGAGCACAGGTTAGAGCAGAGAACATACCCGGAGAGCCTCAGCACCCCCGAGGTTTTGGAGAGGACCCTGAGCCCAGCTCCCAACTTTGATAACCTCTCACTAGTTAAAGAAGAGTCTTCTCTGCTAAAACTGCTGCCTAAAAGAATTGATTTTCCAACTACATTGTAACTTATCATAGTGATACAAAAATATTTCTCAACATGACTTACATAATAAACAAAACATTTTAAAAATAAGAAAGCTAGTATCTACATAGACAGGCTAGGAAGTGATAGGACAGACAAACCAACATACATATTCTAATTCAACTGGAAGAGTAAAATTTAAGAGGAAAACAACCTACTTCCACTTTATAAATGTGAAGTAAAATGTATGTATATGGATATCTTGATATTGGACTTCCCAACCTCTAGAACTGTGAGAAATAAGTGTCTATTGTATAAGACCAAAAAAAAAAAAAAAAGTATTCTATTCACAGACAATGTCTCTCAAAAATGAAAGCATAAAGTGCTAATTAAAGCCTTGATTGAGACAGAAAAGTACCCAGTCTTGCTATTGTATTACTTTTTTGAGATGTGGAAAACTAAAATAGCCTACATACATCCCAAATACTTCTGCTTAAACCAAGTGTTGATTTTTGCTGCACTTATCCAACTCTCAGGTATGTAAAGCAATTAAGATAACAATATTCTGGAGGGAAAAATTCTGGTTCCAAAAATGTTCTTGATTTACAATAGGAATAGAATACCATATCCCAAAATCAACTCAACATAATGATCTTCTTTTACTTCCTTCTTTCCCCTTGCTTACCTCACTAAGAATAACAACACCTAAGCTGGGCATAAATCCAGAATTTTATGGCCACACAACAGCAGCTTCAATTTCTCTAACTACATTGTTGTTTTAAGATGATTATCCCACAATTTATTTAGGACGCTGCTAATATTACTTGTGCTCAGCCATTTTCTCATTTTTGTTATAAATTAAAGTCTCTACTTTGTGTAGACCTTGTGTTAATGCATACCAAATATTGAGTTCTTATTTTAAAAATATCTTCAAATATTGAAGAATTAACTTACATGTAAGAATTTAGCAAAAACTAAGGGAAACACTGTGCTATAGTCAGTCTCATGTGACCAATATAAAAGCACTTACATGGATTTTTAAACAATTAGTTTTGCAACTCTCACAAAATAGACTAAGCCACAATCAAGAGAAGACATGAACTGCATAAATCTAATACAGCAAAGATTAACTCAAGGGGAAACTCTGTTCTAAGGTGATACAAAAATGAAGAGCTATTTCTTCAAAAGGGGTATTCCTAATTCTTTTATAAGGACAAAACCTAATAACTTTATCTTGTGCTACAGTTTATAGAATATATATCTGGATATGCAAACTTATTTATTTTAATAGAGTATGAAATAATATACAGAAAAAATATAAAGAGAAATTATAAGTTATATTTCGAATCTGATAATCTCTGACTCTGTCATGGAAGACACATCTAAAACAAGCCAGCTTACTGCTAGCCTTCCCTCCCTCACAAAGCAAATGGAAAGGTAAATGAAGCAATGTTACCATGAGATGCATTTCACATGAAAGGCACTCTCTTTTTGATGCAATCATTTTATTTCATTGTACTATTTCTAATTCTTATAATTCAAATTAATCAAAATTGTGGCATTTTATTACTATTGGGAATCATATATATGTGCATCTCTTCTTAGCTACCTGAAAGCACACCACAATATGGATCGCATGTATCCTGAAATTAGTGTAAGGAGTTAATTCATGTCCAATCTTCATTATAAAATGAAATACAGAAATAATTTGCCATCTTTGAGGTCTGAAGAATTTAAGTTACCAGGTCAATGAGGAAAGCTTTAATTATAAAACTAAAAGACACTTGCATCTTCTAAGAGGACATGTGATGATCTTTCTGTTTTCACTAAACATGAGGCAACTCTGAGAACTAATAATTAGGTGTCCAACAAAGAACAAGGTGTATGCGATTTCAGAAAACCATTTCACTGGCCAGTCTGCAGAACATCAAGGAAAATGACAACAATGATGGTGATCGTAATAGCTGGAATTCTCGAGCATTTCATCTATGCCAGATGAGAGGCCTTCTCTCACTCAATCCTCAGAACAACCCGAGGCATTACAGTGTTTTAATCCCTGGTGTACAAATGGGGAAATTGAGGTTTTAACAAGGTTAAATAACTGACTCCCAAGCAATTAGACTCCAAAGCCTATTTCCTTAACTATTAATATTACACATGTCTTACATTTGGGTTTTACTTTTTTTTAATGTATCTGTGATTTCTATACCATTGTCACATATTTAAGTTCTGAAATTATTACCATAATATAACTTGGAAATGAAAGTATTAAGATATCTATCTTGTTTCTTTTTCTGGCATTGACAAGATAACTGTAATTCATGTGCATTCACTTATTCGTCCAATAAACTACTATGGAGGGACTACTATAAGCCCAGCACCATGCCATTTGTTGAGACCATAAAGATGAATAAGATGCAGCCTAGGCCCTATCACCCTCAAATTGCTCACCATCTAATGGGAAGAAGGACAAATACACAGATACATGTTATAACAACATGGTCAATGTGAGGAGGGAGGTGTTCAGTGTGTGGGCAGTTACTAAGGTTTGGGAAGGCAAGTCAGAGGAAGCTTCCTGAAAAAAGTAATAGCTGAGATAAGTCCCCAAGGAGCTATCCAAGTGAGAAGCAACTATCTAGTGACCCCAGGTGGAAAAGATTTCATCACCTCAAACCACCATCCTTATCTCTGCAGCTCCTGGAAAACAGAGACCTCAAAAGAACAGCCCAACTTTTTAAGAGGTGACCCTAGTGACCCCAGGGCAGGAAGCGCACCTGAATGGTTGAGCACACAAAGAGCGCCAGTACTGTGAGGTCAGGAAGACCTGGCAGCCCAGCAGCAGGATCCCACCCCAACCAGACTGCAATCCTTATCATTCCTGGCACCATCTTGTCCACAATAAGCTCTGCACCCTAACCAGGTCAGCTCATCCCTCTCTGGGCCAGGGGCGGTGTCAAGCAAGCTTCCGACCATACTCCCTAGAGCATGACCCACCCCCACCTTACCTGTTTACTTGAGTGGGCAGTAACAGCCCAGGGGAAGGCCTCTGCATAGAGATGTCTGAACATTTAGTGACCAAAGGGAGAGGAAGGGAAAGAAGGACAGAGGAAGGAAGGAAAGAATGAAGAAAGGAGAGGAGGAGGGGGGAGGGAAGGAGAGAATGATGAAATTATGCCAAAAATTAGAACTGTGCCCCTCACATGTGCAGCATGGTGGCCTGTCTCTTGGGCAGACACAGCCTGGACAACCTCAGCTCAGAAGGCCCAGAGTGACAGGTTGTGGTGGAGTAATGGAAGCATGGGGTCAGTGGCTGGTGTCATTTCTTTATTATCTTCCACAGCAGCCCACAGTTCCAAAGGAGAATGTGCTCATGGGGGTCCATGGGGTCTGATGAGGTCAGAGATTGTCCCTGGTCCACAAGAGACCAGGTCAGTGCCTGGATGACTTCAGAATAATGACTACACCAGACATTCCTCCTTTCCCCAGACTCACACTCTACTAGTGATCAGGCCCAGAGCCGATGGGCTGCCCTGCCTCTGTTCAAACAGATCATCAACCCAAAGGGGGCCCAGCCCCCAGGCCCATCTGTGCCGGGGCTCACCTCCAAGGCCAGACAAGGCCAGTTTGGGAGACTGGGCAGAGCTGCTCCACTCTGGCCTCTGTCAAACAGCCCTCTAACCTAAAAGCCCCCGACACTTACCAGAGTGCACTCTCCAGACCACACAAACGCATGCAGACTTCGGCAAAGCCACCAGTGAGCCCCTTCCCTGCAGAGCTCAGCTGCTCACCTGGAGAAGCCCACACCCAGGTGCCAGACCCACCCTCCCAGAGCCTGCATCGGGTAAGTCTGGGTCTGTCGCAACTGGCACACAGCGCAGAGTTTACTTAGAAAATGACTAACTGAATGGGAGATATAGCCCCACCAATTTTCCCAGAATCTGAAGCCATCCTAAAAACAGTTCCTTAAATGCGCAGTCTTTTCCCTAGTGAGACACTGAAGAATCAGATACATAGAACAGAATTTTTTAAAGTGTAAAACCCTGGAAATAAGATTTTTTAAAAAATATCTCTTTTTAAAAAAAATCATACTGTCTATCCTATTTCTCCCCTCTAATTCAACTTCCATCTGACACCTGACCCCCTCTGAAGCCCCAGTTTGGCTCTCTGGGGTCCTAATGAGGTCCGGCTTGTTGGACCCACTACACCAGCCAAAAGCTCAGCTTCCTTGGGTTTCCTGTGCAAGTTAAATGGTAGATCAGGCCCAAGGTTCACTTTTTTATTATTCTACATTCCCATTTCCCCCATTGATTTTTCAGCTCCCTTTTTTCCCCATCTAGCAAGACTGGAGTGCTCTAAAAGTGAATATATATGAGAAAGTGAAAAAAATGTGTATGTGTGTATGTGTGTGTATACACACACACAAACACACACACATAGAACAAAACCGCTTGCTCCCCCAGGCTATTAACCAGAGATCCAATTCCCAGTTCCTTTTCTCTCGTTCAACCTAACCTCCACACCACCACCCCCAAAGGAAAAAACAAAGGGCTCCCTCAAGGTCCCACCTAAGTTGACATTGCTGCAGCTCCTGCAGGAACAGAAGACTCCCCCACCCCCACGTCCCCTGCACTGCTGCTGCTGTGTCACCGCTAGGCTTGCCAGCAGCTGCAGTCACCTGCGACTGCATGGGGGCGGCAAAAGCCATTTTTCCAGCACGTTTCCTTCTGCTGTTTCATTTCAGGTAGAAAATACACCTTCTATTTTAATCAAGGTGTAAGCCCCTCCACCCCCCTTACTCTTTTCTAGAGAATCGGAAGAGAAACTGAGGGTGAAAGGCGAGGTCCCCCGCGGGAAGCAGGGATGCGGAGGGGGAGGCGCGGGCTGGGGAGGAGGAGGGCAGAAGGTGAGGCGGTGGCGAGCGCAGCGCCAGGTGTGACGGGCTGCTGCAGCCCCTCGGCCCCCTCCCCGGGCCGGCTCGCTTCCCCCGCCCTCCCCGGGCGCCCGCGGGGTCCTAGCGCCGACCCTGCCTCCCTCCGGGCGGGGCTGGGAAGGCAAGAGGAGGCGGCTCCGGGCACACGCTCGGCTCTGCAGAGGTTGCTAATATTGGGACCTGCCGCAGCGGCAGCAGCGGGAGACCGCGGCACTGCTGTCACCCCGGGGGCCGGCTTCTCACTGCAACCGGATGAAAGACTTAAATAACCCTCCCGCCTCACCCTCCTTCCCCGCCCCCACTGCGCACAGCCACCCACTCAACTCCAGCCAAACGAGGGTGAGCCGCACCGCGGAGCGCCAGGCGCGCCCTTCCCCCCCCGGCCGACCTGCAAGCCCCGGGCTCGGTGCTCCCGGCCCGCAACCTGGGCCGGGGCTCCCGCTCCCCTGCCACCCAACATCACCCGCCTAACACACACACACTGCAGAGAGTCTACGGAGATGTCACTTCCTTGGCGACACCTTTCTCCAACCTCTAGGATCGAGGAGGGTGAGGAGGTCTGGTTTTGTGTTTGATGGTCTCTATCCCGCTGCGGTCCCTGCAGTCCTCCCCGCTGACCCCAGGACGCGCCTCCCCGGTTCTCCGCCCGCGCGGCCCACCTTCGCACCCCGGTTCTCCACAGCTACACTGCGTGTGGCAAACGTCCTATCCTAAAGGTGACTGCATCAAAAAAAAAAAAAAAACCTCGTGGGGGTGAGAGGTGCGTGGAAGAGCCCCAGCCGGAACATCCCATAATCTGTCTACACCGGGGCCCAGCAGGGCTGCAGCCGAGCTCCGACCGGGTCTCTCCAAGGCCGAGCTCGACCAATCCACACAATGAGGCTGGCCCCGGCGCCGCGGCGCCACAGCTGTGCGCCCCCGCCGCGCTCCAGCGCGCATCCCGGGCTCTCCTGGCCAGGAGGCCGAGGCCGAGGCCGGGGCGCGGGAGAGCCGCCCACGAGCTGCGAGCCGCTAGCTCTGGCTCCGAAGGCGATTAACAATAGCACAGCGCCCCTCCGCCGCGCCTCGGCGGCCTTTGTCCCCCACCCTTCCCTGCGGCTCCGGCCTGGCCCGCACAGGAGCCCCGACCACCTCCCGGGCACCGCGCAGCCCACCGCTCCCTGAAAGCCCCGCGCGCTGCAGAAAGAGGGGGAGAGACACGGGACAGGACAGGGAGTGCAGGGGCCGACCTCCAGCCTGTCCTTGGTCCCGCCACGACTCTCCCGCCGCGCGCGCGCCTCCAGCCGTTCCACACCGCAAACCACCGCGCCGCCGGGGCGGCGCTGTCAGCCGCGCGGACCCACACTCGCACACAAAGAGAAAGCGAAGGGGCTAAACTTGGGCACAACGAAACATCGGTTCCCTAAACGCGGCCATGAGTTTGCCAGCCCCTGCCCGCCGCCCCCGACACCAGCGGTCTCGGCGGCACTGAAGGCGCACCCGCGCCGGCGGAAAGGGAGCCAGAACCGAGCGCGCTTAGGACCGCGCGGAGCCGGCCGGGCCCGCCGAGTGCGCGCGGGCCGGCGCCAGCCGGACCTGCCGGCCGCGAGCGCGGAGGGCTGCTGGCGCGCGCTCCTCGCCGCCGCCCACGCCTCGCCGCGCCGCGCTCCGCCCGCGCCGCGGCCGCCGGCCTGGGCGCACTGGCTCTCCCACCCACGGCCGCCCACTGCCTGTTGTTCTGGGACCGAACGCCAGGCTCGGCGCAGCCCTTAAAGCGGCCGATGGAACGGCACTTCGGGGAAGTTTGGTCTCCCCTCCGCGACGGCCAGCAGCTACGTCTCCTCCCGGGGTCGGAAGGAACGGCATATTTAAACTGAATCACTGCAAGAGAAGAGCTCCAACTTTTTAAGCAGCGAGGGAGACGGCCGGAGAAGTGCACACCGCTAGGCTCAGCGGCGGGCAGAGGGGCAAACCTTGGCCTCACGCATCTGGGACCGTCCCACGCCGGGCCTGAAGCCTCCTCACCTTCGGCATCTCTACGGCCCCACGAAGCTAAACATGCAGTTTAGATTGTGTTCAACATCTGGCACGAAAGCATGAGGAAGAAAAATCACCACAGGACTTTATTTTTTACGACCTAGTTTAAGTGTTGTCAGGTGGGTTCACTCAGAAGTAACTCCTTCCAACAGTCTGGTTGCCCAAACAGGCGCTTAATTTTTTCTGTTTTTAACTAAGGGGAAAACCCGAGAGTCCACCCAGTCGGACTCTGCTAGTTGACTTCGTGCTCTTGGGCTCAGGGTGCCCAGCCAGCACGTGTGGCAGGCATTAAAGTGGCAGTCTGCAGCCTCGGTGCTGAGTCACAAATACCCCCTCTGAAAATGAAATCCTCGAATGCCCTTTAAAATTAGCTCGCACTTTTGCACCCGCACACACTCACACCAGAGAGCCACGCAGGAAACCACACAGGCTGCACACTATAGAGAATAAAAGCAGATTATAACTTGATAGCTGGAAGGGCGAACACCCCTGGCAAGCCTCCTGCTCCTCCCAAGTCATTTTCCCCAGCGCCCCTGCCTTAGCAGCTCAGGGAGTCTAAAATGTGACTTTAGTCCTCCTCCCAACAGGACAATCAGTCAGCAACCTCAGCCTACTGGGCTTTCAGACCCTCACTAGCGGGGGAATAAACAATACCCTTAATTTACAATTCAAGCAGTATACTTATTAAAGAGGAAGGGAGAAAACCCTTCATTGGTACAAGAACCACCTGCCTTCAGGAAACTGAATGCATTAAGTCTTAGTAGTTAATGATAAAGCTTTAAACTCGTGCAATCAGTCCATTCAAAAGAAACTTCCTAAACCCACATATCTCATGCAAAAAAAAAAACTAGGTACTTGTGTTATATTAAAATCATGCCCCCTTTAAATTAAAAGGGGGCTTTCAAATGTATACTTGCACGGTGCAGCAGCAGATCTGCAATTCCGGAGGCTTTTTTTTCCTGAGCTGGCAGACAACCAGAGAAAGAGAGACAGAGAAAGGAGGGGGGGTCCCTTCCCACATCCCCCGCCCGGCCACCACCTTCTCGGCAGTTATAATCCCAACATGTCATTGCATGGACACTAAAGGGTTAATGGTATACCTACCAAATCGGCTGTGGTCTTTCCTGGTTCCCTGGATAGTACCATTGGGGAAGATTTCTAAGTGAAATCCAGTCCTGCAGTATAGCTGCCTTCGCCTGAGAATCCCCTTTAAATGATCCAGGTCCGTGACTGCGGGTCCCCTGGGGAGCCCCCCTGCTTCGGACTGACCCAGGTGGTCACTTAACAAAACCGGGCTGTCCACCGGCAACACGGGCACATTCCCAAACGGTACCGCATCCTGCACACCGAAATAGTTCCCAACTTCACCTAAGGGAGCCATCAGAGGACTCGGCTTTTGGAGCACAAGAATAAACAATAATGATGGTGCCAACCCAGGAGATATTAGGCGAGGTATATCCAACTCCCCTCCCTTACTGCAGTTGCAGAGAGAGAGAGAGAAAAAAAAAAGGTTCTTTTCTTCAATCCATTAAATGCATAAATAAAAGTAATCTGCTGTTTCACTGGCACAGGTTCAAGGTCAAACCACTGATAGTCTAAGAAACCACCACTTTATACTCACACACTGACATATTGATAAACATATCTATGTATCTCTATAGATAGATCCCCAGCTCTTAGCAGGCAGGAAGGTCTTCATCCCATCCGACCGTAATAAGGAAAAAAGATCCGTAGTTTCTCCATTTGGTTCGAGATCAGAATGACCATAGCAACTTAAATGCCTAGGCGTTATTATAGGGGTTTTTAAGATGCACGGGCTACGTCAGAATTTACGGATCCTGACTCCAGGAAGGCATGCGCTGTTTTTACTCTCTAACCGACTCTGCAGACATCAGCATGAATCCTTCAAGGGGAAAAAAAAATCTCACGTTGGCGGCGGCGACGACAAATCTCCCCTCCCGGTCCCCCCTCCAAAAAATAAAAATAATAATAATAAAACAAAAAGAAGAAAGTTTAGGCGTCCAAAGCTAGTATCCAGGCTTCTCCGGAGGCTCGGCAGCTGTCCATGGGCTCGGGGCGGGTGGCGAGCGGCGAGCGAGCAGAGCGGCGTCCGGGAGCTCGCGTGCCGCCCTGGCTGCCGCGAACAGGTGTCGCCGCGCCGGCCCGCGGAGCGTTGTAGCCGGGCGGAGCGCTCCTCCTGCGCAGCCCCCGCCGGCGCGCAGAGTGGCGCAGGCAGCGGCATTGGGCTGGGTTTAAGGTAGCGCCGCGACCGCCCCGGCTCCCCGCGGTCCTAGCGTCCGCCGCGCGGCCCGCGCTGCTCTGCGGCAGGCCGGGCGCAGCGCGCCAGAGCGCAGCACTTCCGAGGGAGGCAGCCGCGGAGCCCTTGCTTTACAAAGAAAAGCAAATGAAAGATGCACTGCGCGAGGCAGGAGGAAGGAACCCCGAGTCTCCCGAGACTCAAAAGTTCAGCGGAATAGAAGCTGGTAACCCAAAAATCTAGCTCACTACATTGAGGAAGGTTCAAAGTGAAATAGGGAAACTAGTTTTCCGGTGGGTTTTGCAATCTTGCATTGCATTATAAAATAGGTCTTAGTTGAGAGTTGGAGGGCAGGGGGTGATTTAATGAGCTTGCATGGCCATGGCAATTTCTCTTTCGTTTCAATGCCAGATACACAGAAGCGCAAACTATATTGCAGGTAAACGGTGGGATCTGAGCCTCCCCCACCGCCTTGCACACACACACACACAAACACACACACACACATACACGCGCGCTCGCGCGCGCAGGTGGAGCCACCGACTCGGTTCTGTTTGGGGCGTTCGGCTGTGCATCTTGGGGTCGGGGCTACGTTTAGGTCCCGCCCCGCCGGAGTCCCGGCGGCCGCCGCTCAGCCGGCAGGGGGGCGCCAGAGAACCTCTTCTGTCCCCGAGTTCGACTCGCGCTTGCTTCCTCGGGGAGCCCGGGTGAGGAGAGCGTTCCAGAGGGCTCCCTCCTGCCCCCAAACCACGGTCCTTAGGACGAAGCCTGCCATCCCGAGCCCCGTTTCGGCTTGGCGAAGCGAAAGGCGAGTTCCAGTGTCTCCCTCCAGGGGCCGGCCGCCAGTGCCCGGCCCGCGGCCCACCGGACCTGCCGCCGCGAGCGCGAGGTGGCTGCCGCGCGCTCCTCGGCCGGCCGCCCACGCCTCGCCCGCGCCCGCTGCCGCCCGCCCGGCCCGGGCGGCCGCCGGCCTGGGCGCATCGCGTCTCCCACCCACGGCCGCCCACTTGCCTGTTGTTCTGGGACCGAACGCCAGGTCGCGCAGCCCTAAAGCGGCCGCTGGAACGGCACTTCGGGGAAGTTGGTCTCCCCCTCCGCGACGGCCAGCAGCTACGTCTCCTCCTGGGGTCGGAAGGAACGGCATATTTAAACTGAATCACTGCAAAGAGAAGAGCTCCACTTTTTTAAGCAGCGAGGGGAGACGGCCGGAGAGATGCACACCGCTAGGCTCAGCGGCGGGCAGAGGGGCAAACCTTGGCCTCACGCATCTGGCGGTCCCCACCGCGGCCTGAAGGCCTCTCACCTTCGGGCATCCTCTACGGCCCACGAAGCTAAACATGCAGTTTAGATTGTGTTCAACATCTGGCCAAAGCATGAGGAAGAAAAATCACCACAGGACTTTATTTTCACTAGTTTAGTGTTGTCAGGTGGGTTCACTCTGAAGTAACTCCTCCAACAGTCTGGTTGCCCAAACAGCGCTTAATTTTTTCTGTTTTTTCAACTAAGGGGAAAACCCGAGAGTCCACCAGTCCGGATCTCCGCCTAGTGACCTTCGTGCTCTTGGGCTCAGGGTTCCCTCCAGCACCGTTGTGGGCGCATTAAAGTGGCAGGTCTGGCAGCCCTCGGTGCTGAGTCACAAATACCCCCTCTGAAAAGATGAATCCTCGGAATTCCCTTTAAAATTAGCTCGCACCTTTTGCACCCGCCACTCAGCACCAGAGAGCACGCAGGAAGCCCAACACACGGGCTGCAACCATATAGGAATAAAAGCAAGCAGATTTATAACTTTGATTAGCTGGGAAGGGCGAACACCCCTGGCAAGCCTCCTGCTCCTTCCCAAGTCATTTCCCGCCAGCGCGCCTGCCTAAGCAGCTCAGGGAGTAAAATGTGACTTTAGTCCTCCTCTCCAACACGGGACAATCAGTCAGGAACCTCAGGCCTACTGGGCTTCAGACCCCACTAGGGGGGGTGGAATAAATCATACCCTTAATTTACAATTCCAAGCAGTATACTTATTAAAGAGGGAAGGGAGATGAAAACTTCAGTTTGGTGTACATAGAGACGCACTGCCTCAGGAAACTGATATGCATTATGTCTTAGTATTAATGATTGTAAAGCTTTAAACGTCGTGCAATCAGTCCATTCAAAAGAAACTTCCTAAAGCGGCCACAGTATCTCATGCCAAAAAAAAAACTAGGTAGCTTGTGTTATATTTAATCATGCCCCCCTTTAAATTAAAAGGGGGGCTTTCAAATGTATACTTGCATCGGTGCCAGCAGCAGATCTGCAATTCCGGAGGCTTTTTTTTTTCCTGAGCTGGCAATGAGAGGCCGAGGCCGGGGCGCGGGAGAGCCGACCCACGAGCTGCGAGCCCGCTAGCTCTGGTCTCCGAAGGCGATTAACAATAGCACAGCGCCCCTCCGCCCGCCTCGGCGGCCCTTTGTCCCCCACCCTTCCCTGCGGCTCCGGCCTGGCCCGCACAGGAGCCCCCGACCCACCTCCCGGGCACCGCGCAGCCCACCGGCTCCCTGAAAGCCCCCGCGCGCTGCAGAAAGAGGGGGAGAGACACGGGACAGGACAGGGGAGTGCAGGGGTCCGACCTCCAGCCTGTCCTTGGTCCCCGCCACCGACTCTCCCGCCGCGGCGCGCGCCTCCAGCCGTTCCCACACCGCAAACCACCGCGCCGCCCGGGGCGGCGGCTGTCAGCCCCGCGGGACCCACACTCGCACACAAAGAGAAAGCGAAGGGGCTAAACTTGGGCACAACGAAACATCGGGTTCCCTAAACGCGGCCATGAGTTTGCCAGCCCCTGCCCGCCGCCCCCCGACACCAGCGGTCTCGGCGGCACTGAAGGGCGCACCCGCGCCGGGCGGAAAGGGAGCCAGAACCCGAGCGCGTTTAGGACCGCGCGGAGCCGGCCGGCGCCGCCGAGGTGCGCCCGCGGGCCCGCGCCCAGCCGGCACTGCCGCCCCGGAGGGAGGCCGGGGAGGGCTGTTGGGGGTCGGGCGCGCCTCGCCCCGCCGCCCACGCCTCGCCCGCCCCCCGCGCCGCCGGCCCGCGGCGGCCGCCGGCCTGCGCAACTGGCTCTCGCACCCACGCGGCCGCCCGACTGGCTGTTGTTCCAGCCGAAACGCCAGGCTCGGCGCAAGCCTTAAAGGCGACTGGACGGCACTTCGGAAGTTTCGGTCTCCCCTCCGCGACGCAGCAGTAGTCTGCTCTCCTGGTCAGGAAGGAATCGGGCATTTAAACCGAACACTGCCAACGAGAAGACTCCAACTTTTTTAAGGCAGGAGGGAGACGGCCGGAAAGTGCACAACCGCTCAGCTCACGCGGCAGATGGTGAATATATCCTTGGCCTCGAAGCGCATCTTTTGACTCCCCACGCGGCCTGTGAAAGCTCTCCTCACTCTTCGGTTTAGTTTCTCTACTGGCCCCCACGATTGTTTATATTACATTTGTCTGTATATGTGTGTATATCAGTCTGGGCACGAAAGCATGATAAGAAGAATTCACACAGGACTTATTTTGTATCGATCCTGAGTTTAGAGTCTGTTGTGTCAGTGGGTTACTCAGAGTTAAACTCCTGTCCATACAGGTCTGGCGTCGCCAAACAGGCCGCTATTTTTTCTGTTTTGTTACATAAGGAAAACCGATGAGTCCACCAGTGTCGGGACTCTTCTATGTGACTTTGCGGCTCTGGTCTTTTCATGGTTGCCTCCAGCTCCAGCACGTGTGTGCAGGGCAGTAAGTTGGCTCTCTGTCTTGCAAGCCCTCGGTGGCGGAGTCACTTCATATACTCTTCTCTGAGAATGAAATCCTGCGGAACGTATGCTTTAAAATTAGCTCGCAGCTTTGCCTCACCCGCCACAACTCACACCAGAGGGCACGCAGGAAAACCACACGAGCTGCACACCAGTAGAAATAAAAACGAGCAGAGATTGTATAACGTTTGCATAGCTGGAAGGGCGAAAACACCCTGGCAAGCCTCCTGCTCCTTCCCAAGTCATTTCTCCCCCACGCGGGCCTGCCTTAGCAGCGCTCAGGGAGTGCTAAATGTGACTTTAGTCCTCCTCCCAACAGAAATCAGTCCAGCAAGCTCAGCGGCTACTGGGCTTTCAGACCGCTCACTAAGCGGAATAGAACAATGCCTTTATTTACGAAACTGCAAGCAGGTAACTTATAAAAGGAAAGAGAAAACCTTCATTTGGTTTAACCAAGATACCCACTGCCTCAGGAAACTGACTCCGCATTACAGCTTGAGTAGTTAATGATGTGAAAGCTTTAACTGTGAATGCAGTCCATTCAAAAGAAACTCCTAACCCAGCAGACTCATGCAAACAAAAAAAAGTAGGTACTGGTAATAAAATCATTCCCCCCAAAGTGTAAACCAGGGCTTTTCAAATGTATACTTGCAATCGGTGCCAGAGCAGAATGTGCAATGGCCGTGAGTCTTCTTCCGGTGGTCATAACGATCATGATGAATGATTGATGCATGAGATAATGGATTGGGTGTCTCCCCACTCTCCCCGCCCCTACCCCCTCGCGTTATAATCCCAAGCGTGTCATTGCAGATTGTAAAGTATAGTGTATATCTTGGTCCCTCGGCTGTGTGTCTCGCCCTCTGGTTGATAGTACCATTGGGGAGATTTCAAGTATGAATCATCTTGTAGTATAGTGTTCGCCTGTACCCTATATGATCCAGTCGCTGACTGCGGTCTGCGGGAGCCCGCTCTTCGACTGAGCCAGGGTGGTTCACTAACAAACCGGGCTGTCCACCGCAAACGGCACATTTCCCAAACGCGGTACCGCATCCTGCACACCGAAATTACGTTCCCAACTTCACCTGAGGAGCCCATCAGAGACTCGGCTTTTGGAGCACAAGAAATAAACAATAATATGTGCCACCCCAGGATATTAGCGGAGGCTATATCCAACTCCTCCCTTACTGCAGTTGCAGAGAGA